TAAGAAAAAACTTTTTACTAAATCACTGAAAATAATGAGTTTTGTTGCTCTGGGAGGTAAAGCTATAATATCTGTGCCGTAAAGAGTTAATGTTCAGGGGAGGGAGGGGCTAGTTGTGTGAGTGGAGAGAGACGAGCCGCGCCACCTGGCAGGGACAGAGGGGTGTTTTTCTGTTGGTTCAGTGAGTTGAAGCTGCCCAGTCCTGTTGTTTTTCTAACATACTGTTGAACACTAAAGAGTTTTTAGATGACTATGACTGCGTTTTTGTACGTTGAGAGTCATTACRATAGCTTTTTAACTTCACTATTTTAGCACATGCTCYGCAGGTCGACGTCAGCTCTGAGTAAACAAGCGAAGCTTAACCTGGCGGGGAGGCGTGTAAAGCCTGGCAGCATGTGGTGGGGATTTATCGTTTTTGTCACAAGGTGACAAATTATTACCATGGTTGATGTCTTAGACAGTATATCGCTCAAGATAACATATCGCCAATCCCTAGTCTGTAGATTTACATTAGTGACTTTAAAACAAACTATTTACCAAAGACAGGTACGTTCATTTTCCACCCTAACTCTCATGTTACCATAATGAAGATGAGCTACTATTTTCTGATTCTTTTTGTCTTRATTCTTCTTCTGAAACCATGTACAGAATGTGAACAGAAAACTGGCACTTTTTTTTAAGCAGCCATCTTCAAACGAAAAGCTGAAAATTACCTTCTCCTAATCCACTCAGCTGGACTTCCCCGAAGTAAATCCTACAACAAGAGGCAGCGTTCAGATACAAGTCCAAACTATTGATAGTTTGAGTGAAGTTTCAGCAGCAGAGCAGGATGGATCACCTGTATAATATGACATAGTCATGTCCCTGCTTTCTGGACAACTTATAGGCAGGTGTTACTCTGGTGATGGCCAGCAGAGACTTCAGCAGGACAGAGAGACGGTTATAAACAGTGTAGGACACCTTGATGTCCTTATCACACCTGCAGGAGGAGCAGAACATACAGCAGATTATTACACAGCAGCAGAAGAGTCGGACCTCACTTCAAAACATCTCTGTTGCCCTCTTATAGATCTGACTTTCTTTGCAGTGTTACAGAAATACAAACTATTCATTTTAGTGAAAATCCCCCCACAATTAAAAAAACAAGCTTCTCACTTTTCATTCATCTCCAGGCACCAAGTTTCTAACTCCATCGAGTCACCCTGATTGACAGAGGACAGAAACATAAAACAGGATGTAACACTTGAACACACCTAAATAAGCTAAAGCCACTGTTTTTTTTTTTTTACCTCTGATGTTTTCAGGGAGATCTCAACACACATGGATCTGCCGATGCCAGGAAGCTGACCAGCCAGCGCCTTCTTGGCCTCATGAGTGACCTCCGGGATRTCTTTGATGGCCAAATTAAACTAGGAGGGGGTGGGGGAAAAACAGTAAAAAAATCAAAACTATTTCACAACAGAKGATAAAAATAATACGTGCACAAAAAGAGTTATTTTACCCAATCYGAGCCGGTGGGAGATGAAGACGAGCGAGTGCAGATCTTCTCTCCGAGGCGAGCTTGGACTATCACCTGGACCGTCTACAGATATRCAGACAGGCAGTCCTCACTAACATTTCATACAGACTTTTCCATACAGAATAAAAAGGAACACTGAGGAGAGTGTTATATTTAGCACCCAGAGCAGGCACATCTTTTAGACTAAAACAAACCAAAAAAATGCAAACGTTTTTTTTTTACCTTCAAGGCAAAAAACTTGATGAACTTGTCCAAGTCTTTTTTATCCTGTGGACTCAGGTCACTGTCCATGTTGTCACAAACCTGTAATCAGATGAGACAAAACMTTTAAAAAAATCCTGAGTGGTTTGMAACAGAGAATGAAGMAAGTGTGATCCTCAGTCAGAGAAGAGGTGAACTGAAGTTCTGCYTCAAAAGGAGTTTAAATATCTCAGGGTTTTGTGACGAGTGARGGAAGAATGAGGTACAAGACTGACAGACGGATTTGTGAAGTACTGTGGACTCTGCTCCGGTCCGTTRWAGTGAAGAGGGAGCTGAGCTGTAAGGTAGGGTTGGGMAATATTKGCAAAAAAACTTAATCATGATTAATTGTGGTATTTAGCCGATAACGATTAATTTGACGATTAATCCCCTGGAGTCCCTGGACACCCTTATTTCATAGTCACATGACCAATTTAGTGGGAAAGATTTGCTCTTCATAAAAATCTGTTCCAAATTGTGTCAAAATTACAGACTTCAGGCTATACATCAAATTTTAAACTGTGTTGATAGATAAATAAGTTACAGAACTTTTTTTAATGTTTGTTATATTTGAAGTGGAGAGGAGCAGCGAGCGGATTCTACCTGTTGGGATTAATTGTATTAATCGTCAAGTGCCAAAAATTAATCGATTAATGTTTTTCTGATGATTAATTTTACACAATACGATTTTGCCTAACCCTACTGTAAGGCGAAGCTCTCTGTTTATTTGTCAGTCTATACCAGGGGTCTCCAAGCTGTAGCTCGTGAGCTCATTTAAAGTAGCTCTTCAGCGCTTATGAAAGATTAGGGGAAGCAAAATTTAATTTGTCACTGGCCAAACAAACGCTCAAAAAGAAAAAAAAATGTATAGGTCTTCTGGACGGGTTCTTCTCTAATGAAACGTTTCGTCTCTCCTCCAAGAGACTTCTTCTACTACTGAGATGCATCAGGACAAACAAACTTTCATTTCATTCCAATCAATAGCTGTCCCTTCCCTTATGGTTGCCAATCAAACAGTTTAGGGCTCAGTATGGTCGATCAGCAGATGATGCGCAGTTACATGGTTGTTTGGCGTTCATTTTCGCACACATCTTTCATAGCCCCATGTGACACACTGTGCCGAGCTCCTATGAAACCACTACCACTGCAGTATATGTTCAATACACAGAGTTTCTTCCCACTGGAGTCTACAATGCGAGGAAAAAAWATCGAAGACCCGTTACCGACATTATTTGTGCACACATCTGTCGCAGTTAAACCCTAAGTTAGTAGTGTAAAATATACAATAATATGAATGGATAAACACAAAAAGCACATTCATGTAAATTCAGTGTTCTTTGTGGTGGTTTCATGTGAATTGAAGACAATCTTTTTTTGTGCAAAACAAGCTTATTCCAATAGTTTAAGTTTAATATTAAATGTTGCAAAAAATAGCTCTTGGACAATTTCATTTTGTGAAAGTAGCTCTTAAGGAAAAAAAAAGGTTGGAGACCCCTGGTCTATACTTTCACCTATGGCCCCTCTTGGTAGTGACAGATAGAATGAAATCACAAACACAGGTGGGTGAAATGAGTTTTCTCTGCAGGGTAGCTGGGCTCTCCCTCACAGACAGGGTGAGAGGTTCAGTCATACAAGAAAGACTCAGAGTAGAGCCACTGCTCCTCCACACCCAGAGGAAACAGTTGAGGTGGCTCAGAGACTGATACCACAGGGATATTTTTTTGAGCATGTCCAACTTGGAGCACACCTCAGTGAAAACTCAACACACAGAAGAGACTATTGTCAACAGACTGGCCTGGGAAAGCATTGAAATACACCTGGATGAGCTAGAATTGGTGGCTGTGGAAATGAGAGGTCTGGGCCTCTCTGCTCATCAAGCTGCTGCCCCGTGACCTGACTCTGATACAAGTGGGACATAAATGGATGGATTCATGTGAGCCAAACATGCTGATGAGAGGTATTAAAAAACTCATAAGCTGTTTGACATTTGGTGCAGGGACGACACCTTTGGGAGCACCTTGACCTGAACAGCAATGGAAAATTTTGTTTCAGCAAAATGACAATAAATGCAAAAAGAAAAAAAATTGTGTAGGTCTTCTGGACGGGTTCTTCTCTAATGAAACGTTTCGTCTCTTCTCCAACAGCACGGCCATTGCCAGTATCACTCCACCCCCTGTTAACAATAAGTGTTAATTAGGTGTCAACGATAGCCATGTGATGTGAGTATCAGTCACATGGAGGCAGGGCTTAAAAGCCTGAATTTTGCCTGAAACTCTCAGACTGAAGAAGTCTCTTGGAGGAGAGACGAAACGTTTCATTAAAGAAGAGCCCGTCCAGAGGACCTATACAATTTTTTTCCTTTTGATTTTTTTACCTGGATTACTGAGATGCATCAGGACAATAAATGCACTTTWTTCAGCAACTGACAAACATGACCCAAATACTAAACTGCTTCAAAGCAAACTGTGTCCCCTACAATCCATTGTTTAAAACTGTTTCCAAAACAGAATACAACACCAGGGAACAAATTTCGTTTTACTAAACAAAATACTTGTTTATCACAGAATCTTAGAGAACTGTATGAAACGAGGCCTCCTCGTTTCGTAAATAAAGGAATAACTTTCTGAGATMGTTTATGATAAAACATGACAGTTATTGTATTTAGCACTACACCACCGATCAAAAATAATGTCACAATTACAGACATTTCTGGGATAATTGCTGTTTGTTTACAGCTTGCTGCAGAGGGACTGAAGAGTGACTCACTGTTCAAGTAGCTTGTGGCTAATGTTAGCCGACTAGCTAAACAATCTAACGTACGTTTAAAAGCTTCCCAGGAGAACACACGCACAACTTACATTAGCTGATCCTTTAACGACGAGCSTTCAATAAAAACACGAGTGTTTTCAATAAAAAGGACACCGACAGTCTTTTCTACGAGAATTCATATGTCGATGTGACAGCTACATCACCAGCAGTCGATGCGCTACGTTTCTGTTTATCTTCACCATGTCTACGTGTTTGTGTAGCTGCAATTTCTTAGTGGCACTTTCGCTAAAAAATTGTCTGTTAATTTCACAACTTATGAAAAATAACAGTGTCAAGATAGTTTTTGGAAATAAAACGTATATTTTTCATAAAAGCAATAAAATTGCACGTATAATAAATACATAAGTAAATAATGTTTATTTTTTTAATGTATCGAATCTGTGAGAGCGTATCGCAGTGTGTGCTGTGCCTTGTTTTGGTTGACAAATGCTGCTTATTTTGAAGGTAAGCGTGTTGGTTAAAATTTTATGAAATATGCTCTGAATTTGATATATCTTATCTATCAGTACAGTTTTATTCAGAATAACGATAAGTTAAAAACGTTAGCTGAAGTGCGAAGACGCTAGTTAGCTAGGAGCTMGTAGTTAGCATGTTTGTGTAAAAATATTTAAGTCGCCCATTTTTAAAAGTTTCACTGTGTAGTGTACAAGTGAATGGACAAGCTTATGTTTGACATATGCAGTTCTGATCATCAGCTGTCAATAAAATGTTAAATGCTACGAAGTTGTACATTTATTCAAGAACTAACGAGCTGATGAATTTGTTTTTAGTTTGTGGCATTATGTCTGTCACAAAGAAACATTTAAATGTGGAACCAGAAGAAATTGTTTGAAATTCGTGAGTATTTGCAGATTTTAGGCCTTTTTTTGTTTGTTTAAGGCATCACTGTGCCTCACTTTGGTTACTTTTGCAGAGGAKTTTGGTCCATACAAGTGTTTAGTTGCCACTTTGTTTGTTTTTTGTCTTCATTTTACTCATTTCAAGTTTTTCTTTGGATCCTAGTCTGTTTTTCTGATTATAAACCAGGGACCCTGGACCCAGAATACTTCTGCTGGCATTGTAGAAATACAAACTTACAGGATTATCTTTTCTTCTTAGCATGGCCATCCCCATAGCAATCCTAGACTGTGATTTGCTCCTACATGGTCGAGGCCACAAGACGCTGGACCGCTTTGACCTGGACTCGGTCTCGGATAATTTCCTCTTCACTCATTTTGGCTTTCCAAGGAACTTCATCTTGTACCTGGTGGAAATCCTCAGAGAGGTGTGCATTTTTAGTCTAATTGTGTCCTSAAGTTTGCGTGCAGTCCTTTTAAATTTTCTTCTGCCAGTCTCTGAGCAGACGGACCCAGAGGTCCAGAGCCATCAGCCCTGAGGTGCAGGTCTTGGCTGCGTTGGGCTTCTACACGTCTGGCTCATTCCAGACGTCTATGGGGGACACGATAGGGATCAGCCAGGCGTCCATGTCCAGGTGCGTGTCCAACGTGACCAAAGCGTTGGTGGAGAAAGCGCCTCAGTTCATCACCTTCAACAGGTACCCCTGCAGCTTCTCACACAGCTGTGGTTCTCATGGTAAAGGTGGGGTAATGACAAGAAAACTACATTTTYCAGAGATCTTGCCAACAGAGAGCAGTCCTTTCAGGAGTTTCAGAGGGGTGCAGGATTTCCTGGAGTCCTTGGGGTTCTGGATTGTGTTCAGGTTGTAATGCCTGTGACTCATCAGATTTTGTTTTTGGAACTGTAGCTAATTTATCCCATCTCCAGGTTGCCATCAAAGCTCCGAACAGCGAAGACTCCTCATACGTGAATAAGAAAGGGTTTCACTCGGTGGCCTGTCAGCTGGTTTGCGACGCCCGAGGTTTGCTACTCAGCGCTGAAACGCAGTGGCCTGGCGGACTCGAGGACACCATCGTCCTCGAGAGGTCGTCCATCTTCAGACAGCTGCAGGACATCAAGGAGGGCTGGCTGCTGGGTGAGAAATACGTCCTGGTCGTCGGACCTTTGAGGTTTTAGAGCTTTTGAAGTTATTTTTGTTCGCCTCTTGTAAGGTGACAGCCGTTATCCTTTGAGGAAGTGGTTGATGACCCCAGTCGAGTGTCCGGAGTCCCCCGCAGAGTTTCAGTACAACCTGTCTCATGCGACGACTCATGAGATAGTGGACAGAACGTTCAGGGCAATCCAGACCAGATTCAGGTGTTTAGATGGCACCAAAGGATGCCTACAGGTATTTGACTGAATATTTGTGACATTTTAGCATGTCGTGCTTTTAAAGCCGACTTTTAATTCATTTGTTTACTAAAAGTCTTTTTGTTTTGCAGTACTCTCCGGAAAAGAGCTCAGCCATCGTCCTGGCCTGCTGCGTCCTCCACAACGCCTCGCTCCAATCTGGACTGGACGCCTGGACCCTGGAGAGGACGGAGCCCCTCGAGCAGCCCAAGGGCCCCGAGCAGAGACCCGAGGACCGCGACAGCCAGGCGGAGGAGCTCCGAAAACAGATCATCCTGGAGCACTTCAGCTGAAACACTGGCCTTACCAAAGATCACATTAGGAACAATGAAGTCTACAGACACGGTGTTGCTGATGCAGTTTTTTAATATTTTGCTGGTTTCTACTCTACGGACTACACTAAGATAACATATTTGTATATGGAGGAACATGCAGGAAGCTATACAACGAACAAAGACAAACAGGACACATTTCAAAAACAACAGGACCCTTCTGTGGAAGTGCTTGATGACTGACTCTCAGGACATTCTTCCAAATATTCATGGAGAGTTCAAACCACGTACAGCTGCTGTCGTCCAGGTTTTTTTACATAAAAAAAGCCCCACCCCGTTCATTTTATATTTTTGTTTCCTCCCCCAAAAATTAATTTTTTTCTTTTTTTTTTTTTAAATCATCCCAACAAGAAATTCCACAGGTTAAAAATCAGGGTTATGACACAAAAAAAGAAAAAAAAATTGCCCTTATTTACAACTGCACATGAAGTTTTTGTTTATGTACATATGAGAGAAAATGAAGGGGCTTTTTGTTTACTAAAACAAATAAATACAGAAAACCTGYGATAATTCTGAACTTTTTGTTTAAATGGCTTTTATTCTGAAGGAACACCATAACGTTTTACTTTGAAAAGGAGGGCTTTGTTTCATGATGGATAGTGGTGATAAAAAGACGATATTTAATTTTAAAAAACAAAAGCTAGTGGTGTTACTTTTCCTGGAATGTTTCAGTTCCCTGATTGGCTTCATCAATATATACAGACTTTCTACAAACAATGAATAAATACAACACAAACTGCTGCCGCATGAGCACACTTATCACCAAGGAGCTCAAATGTAACTTTTGACTTGGAAATGGATGTTTAAGAGCAGAAATGTGTTTTTTTGTGATTTAATTAAAGTAATTATTTTGACCTCGGTTCATGCGACAGCAGCTTAACATCAACACTGTATTACAGTTAAGACACAATCAGACCATGTTAAAGTTTTACTTWGACTTTTGTAAAGCTTCACATCCTAAATGTCAAACGTACGAATCCCATTCCTTTTTTTTCCTGCATAAAAGAAATACACGCTTTTTGATGATCAAAATATATTAAGTCGTATTTTTTGTTGTTTCTTTTTAAACATTATTTAAAAAAATGGAAACAATAAGATAAACTAACTTTAAAAATAAGTTCAGAATTTCTTTTTCCTCGCATAAATTAAATATGCTGTTTTGGTGATGCTGCAAATATATTACATATACAATTTATATCTTAAAAAAAAACTTTTATGTTGTGTTTCTTACCCTCTTAAAAAAAGGCCTCCAAAAACAGAAATGGAAGTGAAAGATGGATTTAATTGATATTTTGTCGAAAAATTCAGACGAAAAGGTTAGGAAATCTGTTAAAAGTTGCCAGTTCTGCAGCAAAGTGGTTTAAGATGTGCCTCCAAAGGTACAGGTTAGGAAAATTAAACTATTTTTTACTTCTAATGACATGTTGGGCAAATATTTACTCAGGAATAAATACATGATTTATGTGTTGCATCATTTTAAGGCCAAACTAGGCTAAAAAATGTGGAAGGCACTTTTTAAAATGGCACTGCTTTGTTTAATTTAGTTGAATTCATCATCATCATCAGTTCACATTTAACATTTATTTTTTATTAAAGTTGGAATTTAACATTTAAGACTTTATTTTCTATTTTCTGATTATTTGTTTCTACTAATAATAATAAAAAATAGTATAGTTAATCAAAATAGTTGAATGATGAGCCCTTTGATAAATAATAATAAAAGCACTTTGGAGGAAAATTGTAAAAAAAAAAGATGATTTCATAGAATAGGTTGTAACATTTTGGACCACATTTCCCATAATGCCTTTTTTGGGTTTTTCTATAAGAAAAAAAAAATAATAGTAAGGCGTTCCCTAAGTATTTTTGACACAAAATTCTTTAAACTTGATTACACATCTTAAAGTTATTGTGTATTTAATCTAAATATGAAGAGATGTTTATTTTAGTGCATAAAAGCTGAAATTTCAACAACAAATTCCTTTTTTTTTAAATGCAGATTGTTTGAGCAGAGAGATGAAAGATGTGGAGGTCTGGTTGTTTTACTGAATGAGCTGATGGGTCAGAGGAACGTGGAGGCTGGTTYTGAGACCAGCTGCAACCGTGGAGCATTTTGGGGGCTTTTTTCAGYAGGTGAGAAGTTCCTCGAGTCAGAAAACCTCCGAGGCGTCGCCTGGTTTGGTTTCTCTAAAGAGGAGAGAAGAGCAGCTGGTCAGAGTCAGAGGCTGAGTGTAAAGCTCGCAGCGGAGGAGGAGGAGGAGGAGTTCAGTACCTTTGGTCTAAGTTGGGCCCAGCGGTGCGGTTCCTCTGGACGTCGGCTGTGTGTCGGCGCGTCTGGACGTGGGAGTGGCTCTCTGCCTGTAGCCTCTCGCTTCCTGACGGCAGCGGACTCTCTTCCAGCGGAGCCTGTTCGTCGTAGAAGAGCAGGCTGCGGGAACGGACTGTGACACAAACACACCAGCTCAATCCTTCCTGCCCTTTGTTCCCACTGGAACCGTTTTCAACATCCTTAAAACCCTTCAAAAGGGCAGAAATCTTTACTGCACTTTACACATTCAGTTCTGGTTCTGCTCTTTRTAACTTCCTTGTGCTAATTTTAGCTTCTTTTTTGTTAACTTTAGATTTTTTTTCTGCCATTTCAACTAAAATTCTACTCCTGTTGTTCTTCTGCTAAKTTGAGCTTTTTATGCTTCTTTCAGTTGCTTTCTGATAATTTCAGCTGTTTGCTGCAATTTTAGCTACTGTTCAGCTGTTAATAGTTATTAAACTTTGTTTTTCAAGCCAAGTCAACATTTTGGTGGCCATTTTAACTTATTTCTGTTTAATTCAGCAAACATATACTCCTTCTGCTTCTTTGTGCTAATTTAAGCATTTTTAGCAATATTTTGGCTGTTTTAGCTGTTGTACAACATCATGTCATTTTTTTGTACTTTCATTCTTTATTTCAGCTAATTTGACATTTTGTACACTGCTATCACTGTCTGGATACTACATTCAACTTGTTAGCTGCTATTTCAGCTATTTTTTCTGCTCATTTCTACTTTGTTGTGCTTTTTGTGTTTATTACAACTAATTTAAGCTTTATATACTTCTTTCAATTTCATTCTGCTAAGTCCAACTGCTTTCTGCGACTTTGGCCACTGTTTAGCTGTTTCAAGCCAAATGCCCATTTTGGTGGGCGATTAAGCTTATTTCTATGTRCTTCAAACAAGTGCTTATTCAACTTTCTTTTGCTATTTTAGCAATTTGAGCTGTTTTACTGTACATTTTGTTGCATTAGCTATTTTATATCAAATTGCCACTTTTTTAACTTTTCTGCCTTTTTACACTCCTTCAAATGTCTGTGGCATTTTCAAGTCACCTCTGCTACTTTTAGCTTTCTTTGGCTAATTTTAGCTACTATTAGCCTTGTTTAACATGTTTCAGCTGTTTATCTAATTTTATCAATTTTGTGTTTCTGCTATTTCAGATATAATTCTGCTACTTTCTATGTGTTTGTGCTTCTTTCAGCTATTTAAAGCTTTTTATGCTTTTTTATGTTTCATAGACATGTAATTCACAAATTTTGCCTATGAATTTTTCATTCATTAGCCATCAACAGAAACTTTGGAAGTTTTTTTTTTTTTTAGGAATTTCTTCTTGACAGGTCATCATGAGGWCTATCTTTAGAACACTGACAATAAATCTTTGTCTGTTAGCAAAATATCTCATGAACAAGTGAATAAKCTCAGAGACAGAGTTGGGCAAAATGCATCCCTTATATTCATTTCCTATCTGCTTTTGATTTAATCGTCTGAAACAGCCTTTATTATTTGTGGGGAGTTCCAAAAAGCCAGAATAAAGACTCGTAGTTCAAAATATTTGCCAATAAAAGCGTTTTTTTTTATAAAAAAATATATTTTTAAGGTGGAGATGTGACTTCTAGATGCCACAGAAAAACTCTCTGGACATTTTAACGACTATGGAGGATTTTAAGTGCTCRCTCAGACGATGTCTGCTGGCAGACAGGAGTGGTATCATGTCAGCTTTACCTACCAGTGAGTGCTTAGAGAAAGGAAAATTAACACAGAGAAGAATGAAAGTCAAAACCTTTTGTGAATTTTAAAAAAATCACTCAGAGATGTATTTTGAGACCCTTTTTGGGACTAAATACTGATTGTTTGCTTGTATTTTAGAGGTTTTTATATCAATATCTAAATTAGACACTAAAAAAATACTCAAAACAAGTTAAACTGGCGTTACTGAGCAGTTTCTGTACGTACCCTGACTGGTCGTGTAGAGGTCCGCTGACGACAAAGGATGAGAGGAAGGCGGGGAGTGAGAGGAAGAGGAGGACAAAGAGGAGGAGTGAGAAAGAGAAGACAGAGGAGAGAAACAGGGAGAGAAGGAGCCCAACACCAGGATGAAACACAGGGCCACCATCTGTACAGAGAGAGGAGCGAAAACCCTGCTGTTAACAATCATCACAACAAAAATGTGTTCTTTTCTCACACCWTTCACCCAAATGTTTCATCTATACACACAGATACTGAATTCTCCTCAAACAGAAGGACTCTCTACATCTCTAAACCAGTTTATGTTTACAGTGACAATGAGAAAAGCCCATAACCTTAACTGTGTCAAATCTGTGGGCCAGATACGGCCCTTGCTGCTGATTTCTCTGGACAGCGACATGCATTGGAACTGTCTGGATCAAGACTTTGCTGCTCCAATTTTGCTTGAACAACAAAAAACTCAGCTTACAGTCATGTTTAAAGCTGAAAAAAAAAAAAAAAGGTTTAATCTTTTATTTGTAACTCTGACTTGGGAGAAGCATGAAAATAAAAAGGAACGGCACCAGTCAGACTCTTGCTGACTTGAGCTAACAAAAACAAATTAGAGCAACAGAAAAGCAGCTTAAATGTGTATTTTTGTTAATATACAGGGTGTATCAGAAAAAATGATACTCTCAGAAAAATCGCCATAAAATTAACAGATAATAATTTTGAAAATGTGGGCGTAACCTTTGGTAGAGGGGATCATTCTGGTTCAAATGACACCGAAATCTTGGTTAACGCTTCACGCTCCAGTGAGCAGGGACAGTTGGAAATTCACAAAATTCATGTCCTTTGTTCAAGGAAATGTGAGGGTTAAAATAYGATCTSTCACATAAAATTAAAAGTTTAGATGGTGTTTTACAAGCATGCCAAGGCGTTTTTTGCAACAATTGTTCCGAGCCGTCTCACTGTCTTCCACAACGTTAACAAGTACCGTGCTTCTGGGACCAGCCTCAATCTCAACAAGGGGAGGTCCGGCCAACAAAGGGCCCAACACACACCAGCCAATCAGAATGATCCCCTATCCATTCAGAATGATCCCCTATCCAATCAGAATGATCCCCTATCCATTCAGAATGATCCCCTATCCAATCAGAATGATCCCCTCTACCAAAGGTTACACCCACATTTTCAAAATTATTATCTATGTTAATTTTCTGGCGAATTGGCAATTTTTCTGAGAGTATCGTTTTTTTCTGATACACCCTGTATTGAGCTAAATGTTGATGTGGTAGTAGCTGAGAGTCTTTCCCAACACATACTTGAAAGCCTTAACAGATTGCACAACATTTGTGTTTAAAACTTTGACACACAAGGCAGGGAGTGAAATGCATTCCTTCWAGAAAAGTTTCACTCTGTATACAATTTAGTTCTATTACTGAAAAAAAAAACTGTTTACATATTTTCTATAAATATGACCAAAACTGATCTTCAGCTAAGACCAAGTTGTTAAGTTTAGCTCTCTTAGTTTAACTGAGGTTGGCACCATTGCCTACTGTCAAGTTTCCAGTGAAATCAAAGTTTAAATTAGTTCTGAAAAAGCTTTAGAGTCGTCGTTGCTTTGGGACTGCCAGTTAAGGTAAACACTGCTGTAAGGTGAAGAGAAATATTTTTTTCACAACATAGATGTAGTGATGTTTTACCATGAGGCACGTTCCTGTTTGAGTAGAGGCCATTTTACAGGAACGGGGGATGACCTTTCCTGAAATCAGAGACTGAAGCTTCTGCAGCTGCTGCAGGAGAGACCTAAAGAGACAAACAGGAAGATGAAAYAGAACGTCCCCTCACACATGGAGAGGAGAGGAGAGTTTCAGGGTGCTGAAAGCCTGATGATTTGCTTCTCTTTAATGAATGTGTTGGTTCCCACAGTGTGCTCCCATGCGGCTGCCCTCTCCACCCCACCACACCACAACAAAAGCGAACCGTGCTTCGCTTCACCTAAACGCCCCGCCCCATCGGAGCACGGGTTTCATTATCAGGTCTCTAAGCTAAACTTCAGCGTGATTTACTGTTCAGTCACTCGGCCAGAGCGACTAAAGAACACAGCATGTGTAAAACCACAAAAAAGGGAGCACAGTGGGATCTGGAGAGCAGGGCTCTGATGGTATGAGCTTCCTGCGGCTGTGAGGACTCATTGTGACCACCGGGTGGAGACAGAGAGCCAGGTTACCCCAAACAGACGGTTAAATAAGGCTAAAACAAGCCTGCAGGCCCTTACTAAGACACTTAGTCAGATACTTAGATGGCAAATTAAAACAATCCAGAAATGCAGTGATTCACATTTCCATACTGAAGTCTGCGACACAATCCAGACTGAAGCAGAGAGACTGCCAGCTGTAATAAACTCACATGGGATGATGCTCTGCAGCATCATAGAAACAAGTCTTTGAAGTCTGACCGCAGTGATTTACAGCTCCAGTTATTGCTGCCTAAAATATACACCACTTTTTACTTGTCCCACTGGCTGAGAGAAGGAGAAAATACTCAGAATTTCAAATTGTAATTATTGACTCAATGTTAGGTAGATTTAAAGTAATATTTCCTGAAGATCACATAATACAAGCAACTAATATCTTACCTRTTGTCGATGGCTCATTAAATCACCTAATTTCTGACTACACTAATGAGCTAACCTGACCAAAAAGAACATGCGTTTATTTGTTTTTTTTAAAGGAATATTCTACAGGTATTTTAACAGCAGCAGCTAGCTGTAGCATGTCTCATGCAGCCTGTAGGAACATTATAATMATGTGGTTTTTTTATACTTGGAAGGCAAATTCTCCAATCCAAGTGTGAAAAATCAACAGTAATGTTTTTTTAAATCAGAATTTTGACTCAGGAGTTCAAACCTGACTTCAAAATCCAACATGGCTGCTGCTTGCATGAAAACCTGTGCGAGCTGCAGTCATAAATGTCTGTTCCTTTGTACATATTATTTCGTTAGGGAACACGTTAAAACAGAACCTTTTATCGTAATGATGTCTTTAATGTCCCTCTAAAATTTGTAAACAGTTGCCATCTTTTGTTCTTTTTCCCCTACAGAAATAGCAGAAGTAACAGAAAAAGTGTAATATCAGGCATGTGACTTGCGTGGTTTACAGTGGATTCGGCTCGAGTGCTTTGGTTATAATAAGTGCAGACCCGCATATCAATACATCTGGAAAATCTGCTGCAATAAACTGCATTATTTGATGTAGGTCAGGATGACTTTATGTTTAATTTCACACTTTGCGTTGAGCATTTTAAAAAGCACAGAACAGTTATTACATTGTTATTGCCTTGTATTGCTGATTTCTGAGGTAAATGGAGCACAATATGTTTCTGGGACTGATGGCGATGTAACAGTTTATGAAGTAGTAGTTYGCAAAAACAAAATAAAATTAAATGTAAGACGACAGTAATTCCCTTTGTTTTGGATTCACTTGGTTGATTCAAATCACAAATAACCTCCATTTCTCAAAGCTGAGGCAGTTCCAACAGCTATCTATGACAGGTAAGATATTWATTGTTCATAACCTTTCCACAGAACCACACTTTAAAAAGGTCTGGATCAAAGTTTGCACTAAGATAAAGGACACATTTCCAGAACCTATTTTTGTGTCCTAGACACACTGCGATTTATGAAATAAGAGATTTTTTTCTAAACATAAAATAAATAAAAAAAACCTGMAAGGAGAACAAAATGACCACTAATAACTGCATGCAGGTCATTTTTAGGATTTTAAATTTAGTTCTCTCATTCAAAATCCTATTTTAGACCTGGACTTTAATGGGAGTGAGCATGCTGACTCGTGTTTCCCCACTTTGTGCCAAGTCATTGTTCTTTGGCGTGGTGGTTGAACGTCAGTGTGTGTGTTGGGAAGGGAGGGGGCTGCCTTCCTTGATGAAAGCTGCTGTTACTTTAATGACAGGCTGGGGCAGCCACAGACAGACCCTCTTTACCCGCTCCACCATCCACCCACCCAACTAACCAGCCCCTTCAGGATAAAAGCAGAATGGTTTTTATACGGTTATAAAAACAGAGGAGACGGCGGCGGCTTTGTGTGCTTTAYTCGGGGAGCGGATCGATTTCTGTTTATCCCTCACTAAATCTCTCACATATGATGATATCTTCTGAAACACTCTGCAGCCATCAGTGAGCCAAAATGTCGTCACAAAATTAGAGGCACGCAGCAGCTTCATAAGACGTCTGCAGGTGTAAACCTCACCTGTTGGCTGTCTCCAGGTTTTCTACTTTTCTCCACAGATCACCGTTTTCTGACGTGTAACTCTCCACCCTGTTGAGGACACAGATTCTGGTTATTTCCTTGTTTTCACTGCTGCTCTCATGAGATTAGTTCACTCTTCACTTGTGTTGTGACTGATACAAATCTTTTTTGTTTTTGTCACGTCTAAATAAATTAATAAAATATCTTCAATAACCACTTTGAAGTGTTGCAAAACATGATGTCAAAAAGCAAAATGGAGGATGACTCAGTACTTTTTTTTTGCTGTAATCTCCCACTAATCTCTATTATCAACTGATCATTTTGCTCATCTCTTCCTCCTCCATCAGTTAATCCTCCTTATGTCCAGCCATGTTTGGTTTTAACATGACTCACACAGATTTCCAAAGGTTTTCATGTTTCTTTCTAAAGGGATCAGCAAATCATTTCATCATTTCTGGAGCATCAATAAAGAAGGAATTTTACTTTTTGTAGCTAAAGGAGACTTGATTTAGTTAAAACCAAAGAAACTTATTTTTGTGAAAATTCAGTGAAGCTGAATGACAAATAAAATTTACTAAAGAAGCTAAAATTGAAACGTGACAGTTAAAGAATCTACTCTAAGCGGTTAGGGGTTAGGAGCAACCCTAAATTATGCTATTTGTGTTGCAGTTCTACACGCTAAGAGCTGAAAGTGCTCTGCTAAATTATTCTCTCCCGACTGGTTGCTAACCCTAACCTAACCTAACCCTAACTTAACCTAACCGCTTTAACTGTTAGTAGTTATAAGTATCAAAGTAGTATTATTATTATTTATAAGTAGTTGTAAGTATCAAAAATCTTACCCAAATATAAAAGTAGGAAAATGCTAAAAGCAGAAAAAGACTAAATGGAAGTAAAAAAAGCAAAGGATACCTAAAAGCACCCAAAAGCTTAAAAAAGGTCGACTAGAATTCAAAAAGAGCGAAACAGTAGCTAAAGCTAAAAATCACTAGGTGAAAGTATTAAACACTAAAGCTAAGAAAAAGAACACTGGCTAAAAGCTAAAAATGTCAGAACATCAAGTAGAAGCAGTAAACGGCTAGTTAGTCAAAAATAGCAGGATAGCTCAAAATAGCCAAAAATGCTAACTAAAATCTAAAAACAGAAAAAGTACCAAACTAGCTAGAAGCTTCAAGTAGCAAAAGTTTGTCTAAATGTAACAAAAACCTAATTGATAACTAAAAGTAGCCAAATGATAGCTAAAAGTCAGAAGTATCAAAAGGCTAGCTAGAAGCAAAAAGTAGCAAAATTTTGTCTAAATGTAACACAAAGCCAACAGCTAAAAGTAGCAAAATGATAGCTAAAAGTATTAAAACGCTCGCTAAGTGTTAACAATAGTAAAACATTAGCTAAATGCTGAAAGTGGGAAAAGGCTATTTAAAAGCTAAAAGAAGCAAAGGACTAACTAAAAGCTGAAATTAGGAAAAATGTAGCAGAATGGTAGCTAAAAACAAAAGTCACTAGAAGACAGAAATAGTTTGCTTGAGTCGATCTAAAAGAGAAAAGTGTTTTTTAAAGGAATCTAAGCAATGTATACGTATTTTACTGGGAATTATTTGTAAAGAAATTTAAATATTTAGTAGTATAAAAGTTACAAAATCAAAAGTCATAGCACCCATCTGCTGAAAGAGCTGAACGTTTTGATATTTAAATAGCTAAAGAAGTACAAAGAATGGAGAAGTAGTTTACTGCAGAGTATAAAGAGGAAAACAAAGGTGTGAATTTCTACAATAAGCTGCACTCTGACATGAAACAGCTCATTTTATAGATATATTTCATATTCTGCATGAACTGCTTAGCGTTGTTTCTTATTGTGATGAAAGGTTGTAAAATAAACCCACACTTTCATCTCTTTTTCACTTTCCATGGCAGGAAAGTGGTGATGAGTGCGGCCCATGTGTTTAGCAGGTTACTGGACTCCAGCCATGACACTGAAAGGCCAGAAGAAGAAACGAGAGCGCTCGTCAACTTTATCGGTTTGGTAAAGAGTCACGACAACTACAGTGAAGACAACAGCCAATAAAATCTTCATCCTGTGGCTAGAATAAGTACAGAAACCAGAAATGACCTGAATTTGCCTGCAGTTTGATACTCTTACGTCTCACTGCTCTCCACAGCGCTGGGGAACACCTCGGAATATATTTATTTAAAAAAAAACAGGCTTGTGTCTGAGCAGCTACTGCCAAGCTTACTTCAACATTACACAACTCTAATTCCTCTTTAGTCAGTTGAATTTTTCATTTTTTCCCTTTATCAAGAGCAAGGTTATGGATTTAAATAAATAAAGTCACTCGACTGAAAACTTGGGCAACTAAAGCGAGACAAAAGAAAAAAATAAAGCTAAGAGAAGTTTTGAATGTATTTTTCTGGTATGTGCATGGTTATAAAAGTATTTCCAGCTGCTGGACTAACATGAAACACTTTTTATTACCGATATATTTAGATGTAAATGCGTTGCAGTTCAACACGCTAAGAGCTGAAAGTGCTGTAATCTGTGCGAGCTAAAATGAGGAGGAAAGTGACAGAAGCTACATATAACTGTGAGCTAATGGAGTGCAAAAGAAATGGAAAAAATAAAGATTTCTTTTTTTCCTCCTTACTTCTTTTCCAGACATTCCACATATTCCTTCTTCTTCCTCCGGCTCTCTTGAGCTGAGATCTGAACAAGCAGAAAAAGGTTGTTATTATATGGGCCCGCCGCTCAAAGCAAAAAGAGCAATAATGTTTATGTCCGGGTCTGTGTGTGAATGGGTTTGTCTGTAGTTTTAGCAAAATATATYATGAACCAGTGGATGGATTTGAATGAAACTCTCAGAAATTAACTAACTGTACATTTACACTTAGGCTTTTAATATGGGTTTATTTATGTACAATTAACATTTTTGTATGGATAGATAGATTTTTGACAACAATAAACACATAAAACAGACAAGGGGATAAATATTTTTATAGACTCTGTATGGTCTGCTGTGTGTGAAGATGCACATAGCACCTAGCAAGTGTATCCCTATTTCACAGGTATTTATTCATTTCCATACTGATCCATACTGAACTTCCTGTATCAGTTCTAAACCTTTGGAACACTCATGGTACAAATGAACTTTTGTTGTTATGGAAATATTTATTTACAAAGACAGAAATACGTGGTCCAAGAATGAAGGTACTCCGTGGGATGATCAGCTGAGTTTTACTGCAACAACAGGAAACACAGAGGACAACATAGAGACTGCCCCTATGCTCCTCTGTCTGTGCTTCTGCACTCCTGATGCAGTTGAGAGGCCTCATATATATATATTGTTTAACAAACACT